GGAAAATCCTCAGGTAGTGTAGATTCAAGTTTGTTCAAATCATGACCGGGGGTAAATCGGGGTCACAATGGCTGACCTAAGTTTTACATGAAATATATGGGAAAATACTTTAAAAATCTTTTTCTCAAGAATAGCAAAGCCATGATTGGTCATGGGACTACTTTTGAATTTAAACATTTTTAAATAATAAACCAATTTCTACTTTTTCCCAGCCACAGTGCTCAGGTGAGCGATGTGGCCCATGGGCCTCTTGTTTAACAGGTAGAGCTAGGGCTTTTATCCTTTACATGTGTATTCATTGTAACAGGGCCTTTCAGCTGGTACATGTATAAATATGTTTGACCTTGACCTAAGAGTTTGACCCATTTTTTTAAAACTTTAACCTTGGTCATGACATTTGAAAAGTTAGAAATAGGGCTTTCATATTTCACATGTGTATTTATTGTAATAAGACCTTCCCTTGGATACCAACACTTTTGACCTTGACCTTTGGGGTTTTAAATACATTTCAGAGAATTCAACCCTTGCCATTAGCTGCCATACGGGGGCATCAGTGTTTCACAAACACATCTTGTTTGAAATTGTCTCCTTATTTAAGATGTCTTGATATTTCCAAAAAAGTAATTCCTCGTTCCTTACTTCCTTGTGAATAAAAGCTCAATTATATAAAACCTATTGCTTATTATTATCGACTAATCTTATAATAATCAATTGAAAAACGGTCGCACTTAGGAGGTGAAAATCTCCACGCAGTAAAATTCTCCAACAAGCAGATATCTTGATCGTAAGGATGGATAGATTTTGAATAGATTAAGGAAGAAATCTAAGGCATTCCTTTGGTAATTGAGGTTTTTAAACATCAAAGGTGTGAAACTCCACAGAGAGAAATAACCGAGTGTGTACTAGTATTTGGAATTACAAGAGATTTGACCTAAGGGAGAGAACGGTTCAATTTTCTGGCAAAAGTCACATTTAAAAATCAATGCCCTTTACTTGTTTTCTACCGTATATTTGTCTTAATGTTTTTTAGCTCTACTGGTCAGAGACCAGAAGAGCTTATGCAATAGTAAGGTGTCCGTCGTCCGTCCGTCTGTCTAGCTGTCTGTCTGTAAACATTTTTTTTTCAAAATGCTACTCCTTTTACAGTTTTGTTCTGATTTCAATATAACTTGGCACACAAGTAGACTACACTAAGATACATAAGAAAGTGCATCGGTTTTTGATTTCGATGAACGGTGTTGCCATGGTTACTAAAGATAGAATTTTCGGTGAAATTCCTTTAAAACTCTACTTCTTCTACAGTTTTGGTCTGATTTCAATATTACTTGGCACACAAGTAGACTACACTAAGATACGTAAAATAGTGCATCGGATTTTGATTTCGATGAATGGTGTTGCCATGGTTACTAAAAATAGAATTTTCGGTGAAATTCCTTTAAAGCGTTACTCCTCCTACAGTTTTGGTCTGATTTCAATAGAACTAAGCACATAAGTAGACTACACTAAGGTACATAAAATAGTGCATCGGTTTTTGTTTTTGAACATATACAATATTCCATCATTCCATCATTAAAAATCATATACTAAGTATTGTTACAATAGACCTTCCACATGAACAGAAACATTTATTTTTTCTAAATCACTGGACTAAAAGAAAAAGAATTTCCGACAGCTGTTATAAGTACAAACCAGTAGAGCTACAGTCTCGACAGAGACTTCTGGTTTTAATTTGCATTTTAAACCTAAAATTGATTATTTGCAATTTAAAAAGCAATTATTGTGTGATATCATTAATTTTTTTATATCAAGAAGCATGGTAATAGGTAAAATTTCTTCGTAGATGTTTTCAGTAGCTTATCTTAATACTAGTAATAGAATTAATAATACAAAGATCTGTGTCATAAAAATCATTAGTCATTAAAAAAATATCTTCAAAGTATTGATGAATATTTAAACAATATTTTATTAATTGAAAAATGCAAACTGTAATTAATTTTCTTCTATTTTCTACAGAATTAAGCAGTTTTAGTCTTTTGTGAAATTCAAGGACGCACACATATTTTAATCGCCATTTTGAGCAATTAACACTTTATCAAATTTAATTACTAAATATTCCGCACCATTTTGATTTTATGTGTGCTTATTTTTATCATTTTCATAGTTGCATTACGCCGAATAAGATAATTACATAATTATCTTTTCTTCTATATAAACGACATTAAGGAATATTTAGAAAAAAAAGAAATGGATATCCACCATTTTGAATCGCCATTTTGACTTATTACGTACAGATGTACCATCGTTCAGTTGTAGAAAAGTAAGATCAGAGGAAAAATACCAATCTGCGGTGTTTGGATATCTGCAAATGTAAAATCCTGAACAAAGCAGAACATAAACAATAGACAAATAAATCAGAGAAAATTCGAATTGAGTGTAGAAACGACAAAATTTTCTAAATGAAAGTAATTATATTAGCGTTCTATTATCATTTTTTAGTTACATTACACTTTATGATATATTCACACATTCTTTTTCCTATTTGAACAATATTATTAAGAAATTAGAAAAAATGGATATCCGCCATTTTAAATCGCCATTTTGACCTATTTAGCGCCATTTTCACGAAGGCCGGTATTTTCGGATTCAGCATAAAATGTCAAAAATCCATTTGAACCAAATAATAATTATTTGCCGTTGGAACTTATTTCTAGCCTTCTTTTTAAAAATCAGGACCAGACTATTAATAAGCCTTTTCTACTGGCTGAAACCAACATCGGATCTAAACGTCAACGCATCTATTTACCTAAAAGTGTTCCCTTCCCCAACATGAAGCGAGGAACATGATGAAAGCTAATACGAAGTCAATAGCAATCAAGGACATCGACCATATAAAACGATTTGTTACGTTTTAATTTCGCATTTATTGAAAGTTAAAAGCAATTTTAAAAGTCTTAATTCAGTATTTAAAGAAATGATATTCTAGTAGACTAACAAAATCGTTTATCAGTTGCTCTAGTGAAAATCTTGCACTAGTTAGATATTTTACTTCTGTAATAACCCGCTATATATGACGACGCTATGACTTTTAATGAGAAAAGCTCCTCTTACATCCAACCACCTCTTAATGCTTAGTGTCAGTAATTGAATTATCACCAAGTTGTTACCTTACTGGTCAACAGACGACGTTATTGAATTATTTATCGACAGTATAAAAGACTTTTTAATTTTATATATAACCATTCTCCACGATAGATTAAAGCCCAGGCGTTTTGATATCATCGGCTTCTTTTTCAATAAAAATGGAATTCGTAAATTTACTTACCTTGTCATTGGTCATTTGCAAAAGAATTTTGTAAAAAGAAACATTCTAGATCTGATTGTACAAACAAGTACTCTGAAGTTGATATCAAAAATATGATTTGAGTTTCTGATTGACTATTTTTATGTTTATAGTTTTTTGGAGTCCAGGTCTTTCACCAATTGATTGGAACTCCAATGGGTACTTATTGGCCCTGTTATTAGCAGACCTATATTTGTTTTCAAAAATGTTTTAGGAATTCTATCATGACCGTAGGAACAGGGGACGCAAAAAAGTCCATTAATATTGCTAATATATAGAATAGTATAAAAACATAACTACTACATGATTGTGCCATCTAAATAACGCATGATGCCCCCTTTCTTGCTTGAAAAGGAACTTTTATTGTGCCCTCACTGAAAATGATTGGCTGTGCCTCCTCCCCTCTCGAACTGAAATTGATTCCTATGGACCTGTTAAGGAACCACATTTCTTTTTTCTTTTTTTTCTTTTTTAAAGGCGTTTTTGACCACCAATTGATCCAAAGAGTGAAAATAAAAGTTCTTAAAACCTTATTGTATATCTAGAGGACACATTACCAATCATCTTGCAAAAGATAATTTTGGCGCTGGCATGTTTTGATTGTATTAGGTATAGTAAGAAAGTGGGGCTGATGGATTGGGCGCACCAGTATAGCAAGCGAGCATCCTTTAGAAAATGAGGGTATTTGTATAATAATTATTCAAATGGTGATTAATTCAATATAATTTTTAACGAAATAACATTTCAGAAATTTAAAGATTATGCGAGAACTGTACTTTTTTTTTTCAATCAGTTTTTAACACCATTTTTCGAAAATATCATTCAAAAGACTTTAATGGGTTATGCTCTGCCCAAATATGTAAAACAATAAGAAAACATGTACCTTGAGCTTCCTAAAATTAAGGAGGCTCTGGGGGTCAATAGATTATTTTCTTATTAACCACGAAATATAACTTATTTTTTTTAGATATATCTTGAGCTGTCAACTATCATTTGACAAAGAAAAATTTCATAAATTTTAGTTTTAAAATTTGATCATTTTATTATATCTTTATATTATATCTTTATCTTCTTCTAAAGGAGATCAAATTAGTCTAAAAATGGCCACGACCACCCAGCCTCTTTAAGTTTAATTGTTTGTAGTTTCCTTTAATCCAAAAACAATTTTTTTCTTTTAATAAGATTTATGATGTTTGTTTTGTGAGTGATACAAAGTCCCATCATGATATCTGCGACTACATTTTTTTGAATTGGTAAGGGTGAAGTATCTTTGCAAGTACTTACTTAAATTTTTTGGTTATATGAGCAAATTCATCGTCAAATTACATGTCAGCATGTCTTTATGACAGATTACACAACATATTTTGAAACCAGCTTCGATCATAACTCTTGAAAACAATACCAAAAGGTACTCAATAATATTTTTCTACACGTGCGAATTTGAAAACAAACACAAATGCAAGAAAAAAAACAAATTTATTTTATATTATTGCAAGAAATATTCATACCAGTGCGATAATTGTTTACAATAAATTTTCTTTACATCTCTTTTATTATTTCATCAAATGAATAATCACCTTAATTGTTTTTCTTACGTGCCTACGTTAGCAGCTTACCTATAAAAGGTAGAAGTTAACAGTCAACATGGCATTACATCAGCATGCCGATCACTAAGAATAACAGACGCCTCTCTAGCTTGAGGAAAGGTGTGCAATGTTCAGCTGCAGACAACTTAACATTAGAAGATGGGGACAATTTGAAGTCTTGTACCTTTGTGCATCAGCAAAAATGTAAAAGTTGCGTTAAAAAATCGCGATCGATTTCTATGAACAATTCCAAAATACCTGAAGTTGGAGAGCTCAGGTTCAATCTCGAAACTCGAAGATTCAGTTGTTCGGATGCACTGAATGCCCACCATAACAGAAATATTACCCATAACAGATCGAGAGGTCTTCTTCTCAAGAACAGCGAAGCAGTTCGAAGACAGAAAAGATCGAGTAAAAGCAAGGACGCACCAACCTTGTCCAAAGAAGACAATCGCTTGAAATTGAGGAATGCTCTCTGCAAGGAAGGAAAAGATAGAACAAAACTGATTGAAGTTTATGGGAGGAAGAATGTGGGGAAGACAACATTTTTGCATTTATTGAAGTCGCTTAAAGAATTTGTTCAAGGTAATTTTGCAAAATAATTTCAATCATTTACTTTCATAATTTGGTATATTTTTTTATTTTCATGCAAACCTAGTTTTTTAAAAGAACATGTTCAAAGTATTTTTATAAACTGTAATGAGCACTGCATCTTGACAATTAATTTTTTTTTATCTTTATCACATTTTAATTTTTAGGACAGCAAAGCAGTGGTGTTTCCTGTGTAAATACTAACCCTGATATATACCTGACCATTGAAAATAAGGAGATATGCCCAGAAACGGTAAGTATCTTTGTGATTATTAACAATGTATTGACCTATTTTGCATGCAATATATATTGCAAATTTAAAGAGATAAATTTATAGCTTTGATATTTTTTATTTCTTCATTCAGATTTCACAGGAAATGGATGATGTTGACGCCTGTGTTGTCATGTTTGCGGTGTCTGATAAAGCATCGTTCCAGTTTGCCAAACTCTGTGTGCAAAACATTCGCCGAAGCCATCGAGAAGATGTACCTATATTTCTTGTAGCAAACAAATCTGATTTAATTCGTTACCGGAAGGTGTCCACCAATGGTAAGTTTATAACAGTTTGGTGTATTTTGTATGCTTTCTTTTTGCAATTTCCTTTTACCTTTTTCCTGTGTCAAGTTCGTTTTTCTTATCTTTCATTTGTTTTTGTTTTCCAGATGCCATTAAAGTTGCTGACGTTCATAAGTGCCTCTTCTTTGAGACAGCTCTAACCATGAATCACAACACAGACGAACTATGTAAAGAAGTCTATATGCAAACTGAACAAACTTCAGTTCGAAAACAATTGAAATGTTTCGAGCGAGTGTTCGAAATATTTCAATCCAGAATGAAACGTGTTTTTGGCAGATAGCAATGTTTTTGTTCATGACCACAAGCAAAAATCTTTGTTTTATTTTATGCCCGTTCATTTGAAGTCTCAAAAACTCATGTTTTCAACGTTTTTCGATGAGATCAGGAAAAAGGCTTTCAGTCTAAATCAAATTACACATCATGGACTGTGTTAGAAAATTGCATATTTTTAGTGTGTTTTGGACGCTGTATTGTCTTTTTGTTTAACCAGTATCGCAATAAACCATTTACAAACCTTTATTATCCAAAAGTTTGCTTTTAGTTATGGTAGGGTCTGTGTGCATAAAATCATATGTAACTTTTATAACAGAGAAATTTACTCAAATGCAAAGTCTAGAAATGTTATCCTCCATTATAGAGAGAAAAGGAACCATGCTACATGTAACTATATTTTTTGTTTGGTAAAACAACATAAAAAACGAAGATTTTCATTGAATATAATGACAAACACAGTAAAACTATTGGAAAGTTTGAAGACACGCCCAATATTTTTTTTCTAGTGCTTAGACATCAGTCAAAATGAAAATTACCCGTATGTGTTAATATAATTAAATTTCATTCTAACAATGATTATTCTTCTTGTTTTTTTCCCATGAATTTATGATCGCATTCATGTTTTGACCATTTATTATGCCCCCGTATTCTTAGTGTCGGAGGCATATAGTTTTTGCCCTGTCTGTAAATTTGTACATATGTCAGCATAAACTTTAACCTTACTCATGACCATTGGGTAGGGATATGGCTTTCACAAGTGTATTTTTTTTCTTTGAGTGGCACCAAATCTGATCGCTTGGCCTATGAGTTTGACCAACTTTTTCAAAATATATAAATGTCCAACTTCAACTTGTGACCATAACATTTGAAATATTTGTGTTAGGGCTTTTATACTCCAAAGTATTCATTGTGACAAGATCTTTAAATTGGTATAAATATTCTTTACCTTGACATGAGAGTTTGACCCACTTTGTAAAAAACTTCAACCTTGACCATAACTTTTGAACAATAATTTCTAGGGCTTTCATATTTCACAGGTGCATTTCTTGTGAAAAAAACCTTTCTCTTGACACCAACAATTTTGATCTCTTTACGTTGACCTTGAAGTTTGATTTGCATTTGAGAAACTTCAACCTTCGCTTTAAGTGATTCATAAGCACATTTTGTTTCTCAATTGCTAGTGAGTAGTTTAAAAATCAATTTGATGTAATATAGAACGTTAAATTTTTCTATAAATACTATTAGTTTAAAACGGTTCATTAAATCTTTTTATACCCCTGATTGAGGGTATATAGTAATCGGTATGTCCGTCCGTCTGTTACGGACCTTTGGGGTACCCATCTCTTATCCGCAACTCCTCTCATACCACTGAATGAAATTTGATGAAACTTTCACAGTGTCTTTATTACATATTGTCATTGTGCACCTTTTATTTAACTTTTTGAGCCGACATATATTTTTTGTTTCCATAGCAAAACATAGACACTGCCATTATATTCACATGGGAGGCGGGGGTATCATTTAGTGAGGTCACTGCTCACAACATTGAGCTTGTTCTTTGCCAAATAACATAAGGCATGTTTGTTCCCAAAAATGTTATTTATTATGAAATAAAAACATGTAATATAATACATAAAACTATATAAAAAAGACTGGGAGACAATGTAACATTAAGGCACAATCCTGAGAAAAAAAACAATTATGCAATAACAAATTGGCCTCCCAGTATGTGACTATTACATAACATATATAAATTGGCAAAATAGGTGGCCTTTAAAATATGGCCTTGTACATATGAATTGGCTAAAAAATACCATTATTTGGCCTAAATAGAATACACAATATGATATACATATAAAAGGGAATTAAAATAGAATGAAAACATACTATAGACGTATGAGTTTGGGGTGGCCTGATGTACAGTAAAGGCCTGCTTGAGGATGGAGTTGGGTAATCTAAAGAATATTTAAGGAAGTTTTTGGCCGTCTTGTCTTTACAATAGCAGTAGATGTAATTATGCTAGTTCTCTTATTTCAAAAGGATAGAATTACCGGGGGTCCCCATGGATTTACAGATAAAGAGGCACAAGGTGGGGAATTACAATCTAACATATACATGTAATACATGAAAATTAACTTAAAATAATTTTACTAGCATAAAATATCATGCTTTAGTTTTTATGTCATATTTAGTGTATATAATAGTAGATTACAGTAACTTTCCAATTTTTCATTTATATTTGAAATCACTTAAAATTAATTATCCAACATCGTCTATGCCACTCATTTTCTTTTTTAATATTGCATTAAAAATTCATTTAAAGAATATTACTTTATCGGCGGAGCTGTCCATTGCTTTTTTTTTAAGATAAATACTAGTATCACTACTTTTCTTTTCTTTTTTAAATAGCTATATTTCTTTTATAGTTGTTTTATACTTTTTCCTTTATCTTTTTTCATACATTCTCTGTCTTATTGATTTTAAAACTCACACGAGAGTCTACGTATACCCTTTTATGCACCTAAATTCACGTCTCTTGTTTTCAATGATATTATTTATTAATTTTTTCCAATTTTTAATCGTTCTGTTGGACTTTGAGCATGATTTATCTCCAGCACATTGTTTTCTTCACAGATACTTATAATGATAATTTGATAATAATAATTTATGCCCTGTCCACTTTTTATTGTTTTTAGGTAAAGAAATACATGTATAAATTAATATCTAATTATAGAAAATAAACATTTTTGATGTTTAGTCTTACCATATTAAAATTTTCATTAAAATTTATTTAAATTTTCAGGTGAGGTTAATAAACCCTTTCAATAGACCTGTAGGAAGCTATTTCACTTTGGGGACACAACCTATCGTATTGGGATGCCACCACTTGCCCATGGAGTGCTGCAAATTTAGACATATACTCCACACTTATGCCTTTGAGCACTGAGCGATTTCTTTTATGCGAGCACCTACTTGGTTTATATGCGGTCTCATCCGACGGACCGGTCTCTATGTCCTGGAGTGGGATTCGAATGCGGAGCATAAAGATTACCTCCTTACTCTGCGATTCTAGAACAAACGCTCTAACCATTGTACTTTATCGTGCCACTCCAATTAAGTAAATTAAGTTCATTTAAAGTTGCACTCTAATGAAACCTTTTATTATGTAACTGTCTGATATTTACCTTAAAAAGAAAATTGAATGAAGTGGTGAAAAACAGGAAATAAAGTCAAGAACTATATATTATACTATTTTTAAAAGTGGCAGGTTTATCCATAGGCACTTGACGTCATATTGTTATACCCCCCGCTTGAAAAGTGGGAGGGTATACTGTAATCGGTATGTCCGTCCGTCCGTCTGTCTGTTACGCTTTGGGGTACCCATCTCTTATTCGCAACTCCTCTTATACCACTGAGTGGAATTTAATGAAACTTTTACAGAATCTTTATTACATATGGCCATTGTGCACTTCCTATTTTACTTTTTGAACTGACACATATTTTGGGTTTTCCGGCCACAGAAAAACATGGACTTTGCCATTATAACCATATGGGAGGCGGGGGGTATCATGAGTGAGCTCATTGCTCATTGCTCACAGTACCTCTAGTTTTTATTTATTAAGAAAATGTCACTATGCAAGATTTACAAGGAAGGAGATGTATGACGTCAAGTATCTAGTTTAAACTGCTTGGTTCTAGTTTTTGGCAATATTTTGTTTTTAAAAATCATTTTATTATTCAAGCATGTTCAGTCTCCAAGACCATAAACCGAGAACAAACTTTGTAAAATGTGAAATTTCAAACCAATAAAATTTTTGTGATAACTTCAATAGTGAAACAAAAATGTTCCCATATACTGGTATTTGAATTTAAATAACTGAAATAACTTTTTTTTTTAATTTAAGCAAATATATTGAATAAAACTAGAGGTACTGTGAGCATTGGGCTCACTAAATGTTACCCCCGCATTCCATATGAATACATAATGGCAGTGTCCATGTTTTGCTATGGGAAACCCAAAATATGTGTCGGATTAAAAAGTAAAATAGAAGGTGCCCAATGGCAGCATGTTATTTAGATTCTGTGAACGTCTCATCAAATTTCATTCAGTGGTATGAGAGGAGTTGCGTACCTCAAAGCGTAACAGACGTACGGACGTACAGAAGGACGGGCGGATTACTATATACCCTCCCGCTTTTGAAGCGGGGGTATAAAAAACATAAAGATATTGCAAATCAAAATTTTTACTTTAGTCTGTACTCAGTCTATGGTCTTGTTCCAAATACATGTATAGTACAAAAAAGAATGGGGATTTTTCTTTAGCAAAACTGAAGATATTTTTAAAAGCAGAGTTTTTCTGGTTAAGATTATTTTATTGATTCAATGGCATTAAAAAGGCCCCCTTTTATGCACCTGGATCGATAGATTCGGGACGTATATTGCTTTTGTCCTGTCTGTCTGTTGTCAGCTTTAACCTTCGCCATAACTTTTGAACCACGAGAGATAGAGACTTCATGTTTGGTATGCATACTCCACTAATTAACCTCAAATGACACCAAGGTCAATGAAAAAAAAATTAATATATGTAGTATGTATATATACCAAATCTTCACATAGTTAATGGAGTCTCAACCAAATTTTGATTTGTCTAAACTATTTTTTTATGCAAATATCACTGTTTAAAGCTTTGTTTATAAATGACTCGTGCATCACCTTACAAAAACCTATGCTGAAGTTCACATTTGAATTGATAAAATTTTGCTTTTCAAAATTGAGCAAAATAAAGTTAAATTGGTAAAAGTAAAATACTGAAATTCCAGATGGAGATGTTTTCATTAGAATTATTTTTCCATTTTACATCTCCTTACCTGCATTGTTGCAATGCTACTGAATTTGTGCAACTTTATCCGAATGCAGATAAATTACATTTCCCGATTCCCCAATGCAGGATTACCAATACTATGCAGTATGAATGCAGGCTCTGTCAGGTATTGTGCATTATAATGTCTATCAATGTCACGTCAGTCAATGCAGGCATTGGCTGACTGCACATCAGTCATTCAATGCAGGCATTGGCCGACTGCACAACAGTAATTCAATGCAGGCATTGGCTGACCTTACATCAGTTGGTCAATGCAGGCATTGACCTTACATCAGTCAGTCAATGCAGGCATTGGCCGACTGCGCAATCAGTCAATGCAGGCATTGGCCGACTGCACATCAGTCAATCAATGCAGGCATTGGCCGACTGCACAGTGAGTCAATGCAGGCATTGGCCGAGTGCACATCAGTCAGTCAATGCAGGCATTGGCCGACCTTACATCAGTCAGTCAATGCAGGCATTGGCCGACTGCACATCAGTCATTCAATGCAGGCATTGGCCGACTGCGCAGTCAGTCAATGCCTGCATTGGCCGATTGCACATCAGTCAGTCAATGCAGGCATTGGCCAACTGCACATTAGTCAGTCAATGCAGGCATTGGCCGACTGCACATTAGTCAGTCAATGCAGGCATTGGCTGACTGCACATCAGTCAGTCAATGCAGGCATTGGCCGATTGCACCCCAGTCAGTCAATGCAGGCATTGGCCGACTGCACAGTCAGTCAATGCAGGAATTGGCCAACTGCACATCTGTCAATCAATGCAGGCATTGGCCGACTCCATAATCAGTCAATTACACCTCATTCTTCTTCACAGTAGATTTTAAATCCCCAGGCTTGGCTGACTTTGACAAACTGTTCTATAAAAAATGGCTGTTTGATTGTTAATAATTATCATGTCAAGAATATGTATACTCGGTAATGATAAACAATATCATTTTAATTTGAAATTGATAAATATAAAATAATAGGAGGCCAGATAATTTTAAAATCATAAAGCGTCGTAATGGACATAAGAAAATTTAACGTGCACGAGGTGAAAGTTGGTCTTATTTTTTTTTACAAAAGTGTTATTCATTTTATAAATTCTAAAGAAGCCAGCATAAAAATGATTTTGGCTGTTAATTGACAACAAAGTACTTAGCGTTCTAATTAATTGATTAAAATTTTCACTGCGGGGACTTTGGTGAATTTCCAACATGACTCAAACTGATGTAACAAAACAAATTCACTTGATATATGCACATGTATAATGGTATAAATATTTTCCTAAAGTATATGAATAGTAAGAAATAAAGTGGCACATTTAGTCGTGCATATGTGTTATTCATTTAATGTCATATATTATAAAGCGTTTTCTTGATCCTCTATCTTTTTCTTTTTCCTTTGGTCTATATTGTAGTTTTTAACCCGTGTATACCTGAAAAAGAAATGCATGCAGTATTAAAGTAAACTTCTTTTTAAAATAATCGAGAATTACCGTTTATTTTTACATTTCCTTTCCCAATTTTTTTTTCAAATATTTCATTTAATTAACTATGTTTATGATTAGAATAGTTCACAAATAGTTTAAACTTATTTCTTCAAATGAAAAGACTTAATTTGTAAGAATATGATGGCAATATATTCTGTAAGGCAGATTAACTATGCATTCCCAAGCCTTCAAAAGACTGAATAATTTATTTTCCGGATAACCAGAGGCATATTACTTTTAAATTCCTGCCACTGGACATATTATCTTTATTCAATTTTTTTAGCACAACTACTTTAAAAAAAAAAATCTCCAGACCCCCCCTTCCTTCTTTTCAGAATTGAATGAATATTCTATCCCTGTCATTCAAACAAATACAAACAAACCGAAAAAAAGAAACGTAATCTTACCAGAGTTTTCTTTTTTTTTTCTTTTTTTTTTTCACTATTCACTTTCATCTGTATATGACTGGTATGTAATGCACTAATGGACGAGTTTACATGTACATCCTTTCAAGGAGAAGGTTTTAGAACTGAAATAAATAATTATCATCCTCAATTTTTTTTAATATTGTGAAGGAAAAATAGATTGAAATTACTGTGATTGTAGATATTTATTTTAATTCGTCATAAATTAAAATTTCTTGCGATGCACCATCTTTTGAACGCCTCTGTATTTAAAAGTGAAAGTAGCCATTAAGACCGAGTATTAATCATGTATAAAAAAAAATTCGGCCGTCTAAATGTAAGTTTTATGTTATTTGTAAGTAAACACTTTTATCTATAACTGGTTTATGAACAGACGTACAAACGACTTACCACAAAGAACGATATACAGTCTGTAGGCCTGACGTTACACTCAATCATCGGCCCCTCTGCTGTAGGCTGGTCAGCTATTTCGATGCCTCGATTGGTAAAACGTAACATGTGCACATGTATAATCATTCAGCATAAACACACAACCTTTGGTAACTGGAAATACGTCCTTTTTATCGTTGAATTTTAAAAAGATCATCTTAACCCCTTGGCTTATTAACGTTTCGCGGATTTTAGTTTCTGTAATATTGTGACGTCATATAAGTACGTAGTGCATCACCTAACAGTTAGGCTTGTTTGAAGACTGATCATTCACACAGCAAAATAATATGTGGGCTATTAAAAAAGTATGGAGTTTTTATTATGCAGTGGAAAAACACCATTTGTGATCTTTTTGAAGCAAAGCTTCGTCCAGTGTATCTTTATCCTATAGTATGCGTTTTCAAGACGGAAAGTTCCAGCTGCAGATTTAAGACACATTGAAGGTTTGTACAAAGTAGCCTACCATGCTTTTATTTAAATTATGCAACTATATTGTGTTTATTTGGCAAATGTTTCAATTATTATTCAAAATAACTTGCCTTTTTTAATTTCCAACTTGCCCAAATAATATAATATAATAATGTAAAAAAAAAAAAAGGAAAATGCTTTTAACTATTTTTAAGGTTATTTCTGGGATTCGGGATTTTCCAGTTTTGGTGTACAGCTTCTTTCTAAAGTAAATCGTACTTTTTCGACTTCTAGCGTAGAAAAAAAAAGAAATATAGTCGTAGAAATGTTTGCAAATTATGGCGTGTGTTTAGAAATCTTTATGGTTGTACCCCTTAATTATTTGGTCTGATAAGTTTTTTTACTCCATGCCCCACTCTCACCAAAGAGTTTGGTTCGGCCGTTGTGATTTTTTTTCCAGAAAAATAATGCATGCAGTGGCAAAAGTTACAAAGTTCATGTTTGTTTTGTCTGGGGATTTTTAAATACATGTCTTATTTTTTTCTTAACAGTGTTGAGTGACACTCAGATGGAATCTACAGCAACATTAGACTACAGTCTGTGATGATATCCGATTCTATGAGACCTGAGTCTGTTTGTTAAAATGGTGGCCAACGACCATATCATAAGGTTTTATATTCAATATTGTGCCTCACTACTTGTATTTGATTTTTGAGTGATGATTTCATGAATACATAAAATTAAAAATCTGTGAAAGAAGCATTTTTATTAATATTTAGAGCGTATAACATTAATTATTATGTTGGGACAAGACGATGAATTGTAATTATTTGGTGAAACAATGCCGAAAATTATATACAAATTTACACGAATTCAAACAATGTTGTGTAACTAACTCCGATTCTATTTTCAGGCGAAGTACTGAGAACTGCACAGACTAAATGGATTACTGTAGGAATCAAGAAGACAACATTTTGACAATGCATAAAAGATTCTACGCAAATAATTTTTATCAACCTGTCCTTGAAAATACATCGTTTTTATTTAATTTTACTTTTCTGCAAATTCTTCTCCATAATTAAAATAAACGTTAAAATTGATCATTCATCGGCATTACTTGATTTATAGAAGTCTGCTGTAAAAAAACAGTTTTGACAAATACAATATGTACATGTATAACAATTTTTTTTTACAAGGAAGATTTTAGTTGCATTAGCTGTATGAATTAAAGGTATTCCAATGCCTGCAGTCCCTATACATGTTTAAACAGTGGAATGTACAATGCCTGCATTGCATCAGTCTTTTGAGTCTATAATTGACTGCATTAGAACTTATGTGCATGCAGTCGGCCATTGCCTGCATTGACTGACTGATGAGCAGTCGGCCAATGCCTGCATTGACAGACTGATGTGCAGTTTGCCAATGCCTGCATTGACTGACTGCTCAGTCGGCCAATGCCTGCATTGACTGACTGATGAGCAGTCGACCAATGCCTGCATTGACAGACTGATGCGAAGTCGGCCAATGCCTGCATTGACTGACTGATGAGCAGTAGGCCAATGCCTGCATTGACTGACTGCGTAGTCAGCCAATGCCTGCATTGACTGACTGCGCAGTCGGCCAATGCCTGCATTGACTGACTGATGTGCAGTCGGCCAATGCCTGCATTGACTGACTGATGTGCAATCGGCCAATGCCTGCATTGACTGACTGATGTAAAGTCGGCCAATGCCTGCATTGACTGACTGATGTAAATTCGGCCAATGCCTGCATTGGCTGACTCTCTCAAGGTCCAATGCAGGCACTGGCTAACTCTCTAAAGAGCCAATGCAGACGTTGACGGACTCTCTTGAGAGCGTGAGAGAGTCAGCCAATGCCTGCATTGGCCCTTGAGAGCCTTGAAATGCCCGACTGACCATAGATAGAAAGAGAGAGGGAAAAGGATAAAGAAAGAGCGATTCACATTGCCTGCATTGGTCCTTTTTATAGTTGTGCAACCTGCATTCGCCCTTTTGATAGTTGTTCAACCTGCATTGGCCAACAATAAACACATTGCCGTAAGAAATTGCGATGAAAATCTGGCATTGACTGAAGAATAATAGCCACCACTGCATTGCAAGTTTATTCACTTTCCTAGGTTTAAAATACATTTTCTATTCCTTTAACGCCAAATTGCATTAGTCAATTACATTTAGAACAAATTCGATTGCATAAGTGATTAAGATAAAACACAAATCAGAATATGCTAAAATTTGCAAGAAATTGAATGGACATCATGTCATTGTTCCCGTTGTTACTTGTATCATATGAATTTGGAAATAAGTGAATAAAACCATACCATTTGTTTCGGACTAATTTTGTAATCATAAACAACTTCTTTTATAAATCTATTAAATTATATTTACTTTGGTAATAGAAGTCAAAATGTCTTTCCAAATTGCCCATAACATCGAACTTAAATTAAAAAAAAATAAATTAGACAGATAAAAATTAGTTGAGACCCCATTAGTTGTAATCTTAACTAACAAAGATAAAAACTAGAGGTACTGTGAGCACTGAGCTCACTAAATGATACCCCCGCCTCCCATATGAATATAAAGGCAGTGTCCATATTTTGCTCTGGAAAATCCAAAATATGTCAGATCAAAAAGCAAAATAAGGAGGTGCACAATGACAATATGTAATGAAGATTCTGTGAAAGTTTCATTAAATTTCCTTCAGTGGTATGAGAGGAGTTGCGGATAAGAGATGGGTACCCCAAAGCGTAACAGACGGACGGACGGACGGACGGACGGAAATACCGATTACTATATACCCTCCCACTTTTCAAGCGGGGGGTACAATAATAAAAACGACTTGACTTTTACACTGGGTAATTTTTATTTTTGGTACATGTATAATTAATCAGGCGAAGGCTGCATATTTTTTTTTTGATCCAACATTACAAATTAAAATTGCTTTTTGTCGTCGGAGTGCAAAATAATAGGTTAATGGCAACAAACCCCTTACAAACTTAATTTACACGAAGGAGCAATTTATGTAATCTCCAGTCGAACAGTTCAGAACAAAAATAGTAAAAGACTTCCTTGCTTATTAGAAATTCACATTTTTATTCACGTGTTTTGTAGATTTTATAATCACTAAAATGACAACCCTTATAACAAACAAGCAAATTCGAAGAAATGCGGTCCCCCGTAGACGGTGTCTTAAAGTAGTGGATGGGAAGTCAAATATGAACGCCCTAATCATTACAGGTAATGCACATGTCAAATATAAACGCCCCATCTCTTCTCAATCAGAAGTTATATGGAAAGATAAAATTTTAAAAACTAGGTCTAACTTCAAAGTCACAGGGCAAAAAATCTTAGTACATTTAGAAAGGCCTTGTCACAGGTAATAAACATGTGTGAGCCCTATCTTCTATCTTTAAAAGTTATGAACGATTTCAAGTAATGTAGCTCAAACTTAAGTCAAAGGGTAAAAAATCATAGTATGTTTGGAAAGGTTATGTCACAGGTAATGTACTTGTGAAATATGAAAGCCCTTTCTCTTCTCATTGAAAAGTTTTTGTGGCAGACGGACAGAATGATAACCTGACAGACGAATGAGATTTAAGGGGACATATGGACACAGTTTCAACTGAATTTTTTAAACCAATTTTAATGTTCCCATTTCCCAACTAAGGCAATTCTAATGATAAGAAAAAAATGAACACTATCTTTTATTTACAAAGGTGATAATGAATCCGCTTTCGAGAAAGCGAGGGGGGGGGGAGCAAATTGATTCAACAATTCTGTTTAGAGAAAAAAATAGCAAAATAATTCCTAGCTGATAGATGTACATTTTAAAGAACGTGTTTTGCAGATTATGTCATCAATAATAACAAATATCATTATTATTACGAAAAATGATTACAAATTGATGTTAAATACGTAACCTAAAATTTGAATATTTATTTTTCCATTTGAACATTTTTATCTGGGGAATACCGACAGCTCAGTTGGTAGAGCGACCTCTTTAATATCACAAGGTTGTATGCTCGAATCACGGCTGCGACTGATCTAATTCGATAAAGCAGGCAAATTCAAAGTATTGTTATCCCCCGATTTCAGTGTCGTAGTGGAAAGTTATCACCAACGGTAAAAATTTAGGGGGAAAAAAAGGGTCAAACATTGAGGTCAAGGTCAATTGGTCAAAAATCATAGCATTCAATGAAACATCTTGTACAGGTATTGCACGAGTCAAATATGAAAGCCCTATCTCTTTTAAATCAAAAGCTATGAGAAAAGGATATCATTTTTGAAAAGTAAGTCAAAATTTAAGGTCTAGGTAAAAAAATCAATATATTTGGAAAGGTCTTGTCACAAGTAATGTACGTGTGAAATAATGAAAGCCCGATCTCTTCTCACTCAAAAGTTATGACGGTAATGACCAAGGTTAAGGTTTTTGTGACAGCGAGACGAACAGACTGACATACGGACAAACTATCAGACAAATGGGATTTAAAGTCCCCTTGCTTTTGCTAAAGCGGGGGACAAAAAAAGGTAGCACTGTTCTTTCTCCAAGCTCTCGGCGCTTTTAAGTAAAATTACCGAAAAGATCTTTTTTTTTTTTTTAAAATTGGCACGATAAAGAACCCTCACTGCGCTAGGGCCCTAAAAGTGCCGAATCTAAGTTTAAATTTGAACCCTTCACCAGTATATAGTGTTCATCGATCAAGATGTAAAACAACGTACGACCAACTTATCTTGACAGATTTCTTCTGTAAAACTACTTCTTAATTAATTGACTTTGTTAAAATATCCCCTTTTTACATTATGTTATATATAAATACTAATGGCAATTTTAAATTTGATGTTTATTTTTGACAATTTTGAATAGATTTTCTTTTTACTCCCCATTATTAACATATAATAAATTGTTAGTCTGGCTAAAAAAAAAATTGACGAAATATTTTGTCTGGCTGACATATTCACATTTATATCCATATGTTTTGAATATTATATGATAACGACAACAACCTTTATTTACTTTTATAAAAATGCTAAATGTCGACAATGTTTTTCTTTGTGTTTATCGCGAAGAAATTTTAACACATCATTGCTCAAGAAATAAGAACTACATGTAGAAACTTCGTAATAATATTGTTCAAGAAATAAGGACTACATGTAGAAACTATTATAGTTATTATAGCTATTACACATTTTTTATTTACTCGGAAGTGCAATACAAAGAAAGCAAGTATAGTTTTCAAAATTAAAAAAATATATATTAGCTAACCTGAGCCAAAGGCTCTGATTTTTGCTTTTTTCCTAGCCACAGTACTCAGATGAGCGATGTGGCACCTGGAGCTCTTGTTTCTGTGGCAACAGCGTTTTCCAAATTTTAATTAATTAATGAAATTTTCACAGAATCAAGAAGACAATTTTACTAAGTGATGGTATTTGTTAGATTAGTTTTGACCGTTTTATATTAGAGTCAAGGTCAGGTCAAGGTCATTACCTTTTCCCTGGTCATTAAGAATAAAAATAACTGCATCCAATCATGAGATAGGGTCTTCTATTTCAAAAGATTAAATGTTTTGCTTTTTGCATAAAAAGATATTACCATGTAGGGTCTATAAGATGATATTATCAAATTGACACAAATAGTTTAACAAAAATAGATTTTGGCTAATCCAAATTTTCTCTATTTTTTTTAAAGATATTTAAGTTATTTTTATATGCGCCCTATATTTAATATTTTAAAATTTTCACATATGGTAAAGCAGCCATATAGAGAAACAAAATGATACAAAAACTTAAAGTTTTTACCGTTTAGTAAGAGAGTAAAAACAATTTCTACGGATTTTTGGTTCATATCTGTACTTAGAGTTGAAACTTTTAAAAAGCTAACATAATTGTAGTTTGTTTGGAAATTCATATTTATTTGATATATTTTAAAACTTTAGTTCCTTATTATTAATTTAGCTAGCATTTGAAAAATTCTTCTAGTCTTATTGTGTAAAAATTATAGTTCTATAAAAATTTTGAGAGGCAGAGAAGAAGATATTTTCATACGCCACCATTCCGCCAAAAAATATAGTCCCTGCTAGTTTTCGAACACAATTTACCATT